ATCTGAGGAAATGGAGGTGGTGATTTTTCCAAATCAATTTTTAGCGGAGAAATAGGTCTCTCAGAATCTTTTGGAGCGTCCTTTTTTTATTCTTCAATTTCTTCTCTCTCTACTTCAATTTTTTTTTGAACCCTACCTTCCAACTCTCTTCCACTTCTAAGTTGAACGACTTTTACTTGCTCTTTATTCTAGTCTTTTGGATTTGATTCAGTATCACTAGAAAGTGTTCCTTGGGATCTATTACTTAATGAATTTGCTATTTACCCAAGTTAATTCTCAATATTTCTAATTATAGCTCCTTGACTTTGTAATTGATTTCCCATTTGTAACACCACTTCTTCTATAGACAAGTTCTTCTCCTTAAATTGTGTATTAATGTTGAAACCTGGAGGATAAATATATTTATAATTATTATTCCCTTGATTGTTCCAGTTTCCCAATGGGTTTACTTGGTTGTTCCCCCATTGCTGATTATTACCATCTGAATTGTTATTCCAGTTAAAGTTGGGACGGTTTTTCCAACCTGGGTTATAATAATTTGAATATGGGTTATTCTGCTTGTTATTTATGGCATTCAAAGTTCTTAATGAGGCTTGAGAATCTACCCTTTGGCCTAATTAATTTAATGAATTGACCTAATGAATTCTCTTTAATCATGGAAATTAGTTGAGAAAAATTCATTCCAAATTGGTCTAACTTCCTTGAAATTTTAGCAACTTGATTTGCTAACATAGTAAATACATCAGTTTTATAAATGTTGGCTACTTTCTTAGGATTCACCCTCTCAGAAGGCTATTTAAAATTATTGGTAGTCATTTCTTCAATTAAAGCATAAGTGACATGAAATGGTTTTGACATCAATGAACCACCAACAACGTCATCGGTAATTGATTTAAGAGATCCAACTAATCAATTATAAAAAATTTGAATTATTATTTGAATTATTAACCAATCGTGTGGACACTTTCTTAAGAATTCTTTAATTTTTCTCATGCTTCATAAATAGATTCCCCTACAAACGGATTAAAAGATGTAATATCATTTCTAAACTTCGCAGTATTTGATGGTGGAAAATATTTAGCAAGCGTT